TTAACCAAGGAGGTAAAAGACTTATAAAATGAAAACCACAATATATTGTTGACAGAAATTAAAGATGACATAAATAAATGGAAGCACATCCTGTGTTCATGAGCTAGAAGACTTAATATTGTTAAGACATCAGTACTACCCAAAGTGATCTACAGATTCGATGTAATCCATATTAAAATCACAATGACATGTTTTGCAGAAATAGAAAAACCCATCTGAAAATGCATATGGAATCTCCAGGGACTCCAAATAGCCAAAACAATCTTGAAAAAGGAGAACAAAGCTGGATAACTCACAACTTCCTGATTTCGAAACTTACTACAAAGCCACAGTAATCAAAACCATGTGGTATGGCACAAAGACAGACATATAGACCAAGGGAGTAGAATACAGAGCCCAGAAATAAACAGTCTCATATAGGGGAAAATGATTTTTGACAAGGTTGCCAAGACCATTCAATGGGGAAAGGACAGTCTTTTCAACAAACGGTGCTGGGAAAACCGGATATCCACACGCAAAAGAATGAAGTTGGACCCTTACTTAACACTTTACCAAAAAATAAACTCAAAATGGATCAGACTTAAATGTAATACCTAACACAGTAAAACTATTAGAAGAAAACACAGGGTAAAATCTTCAACAATGAATTCTTGGATATGACACCAAAGACACAGGCAAAAACAGAAAAATTGAACTTCAGAAAAGTTTTTAAATGTTGTGCATCAAATGTTGTGTATCAACAGAGTAAAAAGGCAACCCACAGAATGGAGAAAAAAATTGTGCAGATCAAATATCTGAGAAGGGATTGATATCCAGAATATACAGAGAACGCAACTACAACAAAATCAATCCAATTAAAAAATGGGCCAAGGACTTAAACAGACACTTTTCCAAAGAATATATAGAAATGGCCAATAAACACATGAAAAGATGCTCAACATCAGTAATTATTAGGGATATGCAAATCATAACTACAATGAAATACCACCTCATACTCATTAAGATGGCTACTATCAAAAAAAAAAGGAAAAGGGCCGGCCCGGTGGCGCACTCTGTAGAACACCAAAGGTTCAGATCCCATATAGAGACCGGTCCGCTCACTGGTTGAGCGCGATGTGGGCGCGACACCGAGGGTTGCGATCCCGTTGCCGGTCACGGTACGGGCGCGACACCGAGGGCTGCGATCCCGAGGGCTGCAATCCCGTTACCGGTCACGAGAAAAGACAAAAAGGAAAAAAAAAAAAAAAGGAAAAAACATGAGTTGGGAAGAATGTAGAGAAATTGGAACAGTTGCACACTGTTGTTGGGGATGTAAAATGGTACAGCCGCTGTGGAAAATAGTATGTCAGTTCCTCAAAAAATTAAAAATAGAATGATCACATGATCCAGCAATTCCACTTCTGTATACACAAAAGAAAACGGGGTCTCGAAGAGATATTTTTACATCCATGTTCACAGCAGCATTATTTACAATAGCTAAAATGTGGAAGCAACCCAAGTGTCGGTAGACAGGCAGATGAATGGATAAGCAAAATGTGGTATATACATACAATGAAATACTACTCAGCCTTAAAAAGGAAGGAAATTCTGACATACACTACATTATGGATGAACCCTGAGGACACTATGCTAAGAGAAATAAGCCAGTCACAAAAAGATAAATACTGTATTATGATTCCACTTACATGAAGTACTTAAAGTAGTCAAAATCATAGACAGACAGTAGGATGGTGGTTGTCAGGGATGGAGGGGATAGGGAGAATGGGGAGTTATTGTTTAATTAGTATAGAGTTTCAGTTTTTCAAGATGAAAGGAGTTAAGGAGATGGATGGTGGTGATGATTGCAGAATAATATGAATGTACTTATTTTTATTTCTATTTTTTACTTTTTTTTGAAAAAGATAACTGGTAAGGGGATCTTAACCCCTGACTTGGTGTTGTCAGCACCACTCTTCCAAGTGAGCTAACTGGCCACCCCTATATCGGGATCCGAACCTGGCCTTGGTGTTATCAGCACCATACTCTCCCAAGTGAGCCACGGGCCAGCCCCTAAACATATTTAATACTATTTAACTGTACACTTAAAAATGGTTAAGGTGGTAAGTTTTATATTAGATGTATTGGAACACAATTTTAAAAATCAGAAAAAAATGGGGGGAGGATAGTTAGGAGGATCAGAAAGATAGACAGTAGCTAGATCATGTAGGCATCTATAGCCTACCTGTGGGTCACACAAATCTCACCCCTGACCTGCCAAAGATCTAAGAATGATTTTTACAGTTTTAAAGGATTGTTCAAGAAGAAAAAAAAAAAAATCAGAGAAAAATATGTGACAGATAGCACACAGCTGGTTAGAGCACAACCTTGTATAACACTAAGATCATTAAAAAAAAAATATTTATAGGGGCTCTTTACCCCTGAGGGCCTCAATACTCACATATTTACTAAAGTTTAATGACAGACTCACCAGGAAAGCTATTGGAAGAAAAAAGGTCAGAAAAGAAAACCTGAAAAAAAAAAAAAAAAAAAAAAAAAAAACTGTATTCTAAAATTATTGTAAATACTAGACACAACTGAAGCACTTTTCATTGATGATAAAGCAAAAGAAATCTCTTCTAAGGCAAGGCTTGAAATGTATGAGGATAATAAACATCAACTGCAAGATAACGAACTGTGGACAGAGGAAGACACATAGGCAGGGGTACACAGGGGGCCCCAAGTATAAAGATTGTTTTGTTTCTTAATCTGGGTGATGGATACACAAATGTTTGTTACATTGTTCTTTATAACCTTTTATAAATCTGAAATATTTTGTAACTAACAATAAAGAAAGGAATCAAAGAAAATAAAAGCACACAGAAAAGGTAATATTGCCTGGCTTTATTAAACAATCAAAATAACCTTAAAATTTGCATTTTGGGGGCCGGCCCGTGGCTCACTCGGGAGAGTGTGGTGTTGATAACACCGAGGCCGCGGGTTTGGATCCCTGTGTAGGGATGGCCAGTTGGCTCAATGGCTGAGCGTGGTGCTGACAACACCAAGTCAGGGGTTGAGATCCCCTTACTGGTCATCTTTTAAAAAAAAATAAAATAAAAAATTAAAAAATAAAAATTTGCATTTTTTTAAATATATGTTCATTTCTTTTTTTTTTTTTTTAAAGATGACCGGTAAGGGGATCTCAACCCTTGGCTTGGTGTTGTCAGCACCATGCTCAGCCATTGAGCAAACCGGCCATCCCTATATAGGATCCGAACCCGCGGCCTTGGTGTTATCAGCACCGCACTCTACCGAGTGAGCCACGGGCCGGCCCGATGTTCATTTCTTTTTTTAACCTTCTAAATAAGTAACTATTAACAGAAGCCCCAGAGTGCAACTGGTGTCATTGGCTAGACTTAGGTTACCACCAGATTTCCTCTCCGGCACCTCGTTTAGAAACCTAGTCATCATCTTTGATATCTATACTTCAAGTTACCAGAACTGAGTAAACAATAACCAAAGAAAGTTTGTTGATACAGGTTTAATCTTAGAATTTTAATTTTAGAATACTTTTGAATCTACAGAACAGCAACAAAAACTGACACACGAAATATACATACACCAGTTAACTGTGAAGAGACTCTAAAAAGTTGAATAAATCAATCTGTGATTAAGCAGCAGTTTCTACAACAAACAAGTTCTCCTTCTAACTCATTTTAAAATTGAAAAGATACTTGGAAACTAGTCAGGGGAGAGTTGAACACCCCTACACACCCTCTCAACTGGAAAAATCTGTGTCTTTCGGTCTATGAACAAAGGGAAGACCAGGTTGCCTCACAAACAGATAACTACACTAGCTTAAGTTGTCTTGATCTTTTAAAAACATAAATTCACTTTATAACTTAATTTTTAGCGTTTAAATACTGTTTACTTGTTCAGTAGGGATGAAGAAAATATTGAAGAAACTACTGTGTCTAGAATAAAAAGAAAACGGGTGATTGATTACTGTTTTAGAGACGACAGAGATGCTAATCCCAAGGTGAGTGTTAAACCATCTGCACAGTAGTTATGCTGCCTTATTTCCAAACTGACAAACTGCATAAAGTAGCATATAAAAGTGACGCCTAAATCTTTACCGACATTTAAAAAATAAACGCACTTCTCAGAAAAGAATGATGATCAAATTCTCCTCCTAAATAGCAGTTTAATACAGACATCATACTTTCTCCTGAAAAACGGACACTATTTTATTCCTCACAGCAACCTGCTGTCTGTCATTTTATCGAACAGAACAAGGGGAACCAAGAAACCGGTTTGGTACCCTCAGGAAATGCAAACAAAATCCCTCTCCCCGGACCGCGCAGGAGGAAGCCCAGCAGCAAAGCCCCGCGCTGCGAACCCTGCTAGCCTCTCCCTACCTGCATCTCACCACCACCTGGATGTTCTTCCCCTTCTCCTCTTTCTTCTTCGCAGAGGAATTTGGCTGGGACGCCATACCTGTCCCCACCAAAAAGCAAGGCCTGGCCGCGGACTCGGGCTCTGTGGAGCAGAAGCGGGTGGGTGCCCACCTCCCCTGCCGGGTGCTGCGTCCCCGCTCTCCACCTGGGACTCTAGCGGTGGCGTCTGTCCCGCACCAGCCAGAGCCACCGAATCACAAATCTAGTTTCCACCCAAAGCCCTAGAAACCGAGAAACGACTCGGCGCCTCAATTTGAAAAAGGAGCCGAGTTGCCGGGCCAATGGCAGCGCGAGCGCGCAGGGCACCATGGGACACGGTGTCGTCACTGGAGCCCCGCCCTTGGGGCGTGGCCAGCGGGAAAATAAGAATCGGGTCTGTCCACGCCGGGGGGATCTCGTAGTCTAGAGAGAGAGACGCAGAGGGAAGTGGGACGCTTCAGCGTAAGCTTGTTCAAGTTACACAACGTCTCTAAACCAAAATATCATCTTGAAAATGGAAATAATAGTAACCGTCTTATATGGTCGTGATGAGAATTAATGAGCTTGTGCAGGTAAATAGTTTAGATTAGGACATATACAAAGGGCTCAGGAAATACTGGCCATGATTATAAGCGAGAATTCAAAGAGTGCCATGGAAACACAGAAGAGAGAGGTCCGAAGCGAGCCGCCTCCTCGGAGGCAGTGTCCTAAGGGATAAGGCTACTTAACACGGGTTCCAAATCGTGATGAAATGGACATCGAATGTCAATTGAAGGACTCTGAATTTACCCTTTAGCCGGTAAGTCATCATCGATAAATGATTCCAAACAAGAATGCAAAGTGAGATTTGCGTTTTAGGGCAACCGCTCTGCAGTGCAGCTTCAGGGCGCGCTCCTGGTGTCTACGTGACGTAGCAGTCGGCGGGCATCTCAGGGAGGTTAAGAAAAGGCCCGCCACCGCGGCCTACAAATCCCAGCATGCAGCGCTCGCTGGTTCCTGCCGGTGACCTCAGCCTTCCCGTATGTGCAGCTTGGGCATCTTGGCAGTGCGTGGGTGACTCGGCCACTTAAGGTATGGGTCACGGGCTCAGGAATACTGAATCAGGGCCTATGCCGTAGTACGTTCCTGGAGCTGCGCTTCTGGGCCCCACTTAACCCATAGGAACGTAGATGTCATTTTAGTCTCTTAAGTAATGGCTGGTTGCAGTGGAAAGCTCTCAGGTACCCTCAGGGTTCCTGCACTTAACCCCCTAGTACCCTCCAAGGAAACTACATCTGCAACTCAGACTGCTGGTCATCTCCATTCTGCATTGCCAGCTGTCTACTCTCCTCTCCGATGTCGCACGGGCATCTGAAAATGGACCTATACAAAACGATCCCCTTACCTCCACCCTAATCTTTCTTATCTGGACACTTAGTGCTAACCAGAACTTTTGATTCCTTCATCCTCCACGTCTAGTGTAATCCCATCGGTTTTGTCTCCTCTGCTACCCTAGTCCAAGTCTCTTATCTCTTCCCTGAGCAACTGTCATCAACCTTCTTAACAAGTATCCTTACTTCTACTCTTTTCTCCTTCCCCAACTGCGTTCACTCAGCAAGGAAAGGATCTTTTATTTATTTTTCCTTTAGAATTATTTTATTAAATCGTAAATGTACAACAGCTTCCTAACGCTACACACGCACTTAAATTTTTTAAAGGAAAAACGTTATGTCTTATTACACCATGATCCTGGCTAATAGCTTTTCAAAACGTTGAGAAAAATCTTTTAAAAAGTTTCACATACTGGGCCGGCCCGTGGCTCACTCGGGAGAGTGCGGTGCTGATAACACCAAGGCCCCGGGTTCGGATCCCATTTAGGGATGGCTGGTTCGCTCACTGGCTGAGCATGGTGCTGACAACACCAAGTCAAGGGTTAAGATCCCCTTACCGGTCATCTTTAAAAAAAAAAAAAAAGTTTCATATATTGGGCCGTCCCGTGGCTCACTCGGGAGAGTGTGGTGCTGATAACACCAAGTCAAGGGTTAAGATCCCCTTACCGGTCATCTTTAAAAAAAAAAAAAAAAAAGTTTCACATATCACCTGAAACTTAGAAATTTAACATTATCAAAGAATGAATGCTTGTGCACTCTTACAAAGACCACTGGAAAGAAACAACAATTAAATAGCTAAGAAACTGTCTCAGAGGCATTTTTATTTTTATAACCCTTCCTCCACAGTAAAGTAATGTTATTAAATAATCCAATCCATTCACAAAATGACTCTCTGCATCTGCTCTGGTGTCTTCTGCCATATCACTGCATATTTATTATTTCAATAACCTGAAGCTGTTCTGTTACCTCTGGACTCTCATCCTCTCCTATTTATACAGCGAAACCCATGGCAAGTAAGAAGAAACTCAATATCAGCTCCACCCACCATAACCCCCACTTCTTCCACTGCCTCCTGAACCATAGTTTCCTCCACTATATAGTCCACCATGTTCCTGCTACCACCATAGTTTCCACTCTTCATTGGACCAGAAGGTTGCTAATTATAATTTCCATTCCCATAATTTCCTCCTCCATTGTTGTCATAAACACCTCCATAGCCCCCACCCTGGTTGCCATATCCAGGTAAAAATATGGACTGCTTCTCAAATTTGCGTGTCATTCTTGTGTAGGGGCCATGCTAATCTTCTCTGTATTGTTCCAATTTCTAGAATATGTGCTTTCAAAGCAAGCATGGGAAGGATCTTTTAAAAAGCATATCATGGCCGGCCCGTGGCTCACTCGGGAGAGTGTGGTGCTGATAACACCAAGGCCACGGGTTCGGATCCCATATAGGGATGGCCGGTTCGCTCACTGGGTGAGCGTGGTGCTGACAACACCAAGCCAAGGGTTGAGATCCCCTTACCGGTCATCTTTAAAAAAAAAAAAAAAAATTAATTAATTAATTAATTTTTTAAAAAAAGCATATCACATAATGCCTTCATCTGCTTTTTAACCTTACACTAGCTTCTCATTCTACTTGGAATAAAATCCTAATTCCTTACCATGCTTTGTAAGGCCCTCATGATCTGGCTCTTGCCTATAGCGTCAACTCCAGCCACTTCCCACATCCCACTGCTGTGCTTCAGAGCCTCTAAGTTTTTGCTCCCAGCTGCCAGGCCTTTGTACTTGATGCACCCTCTGCCTGAAACTCTTTTCCTTGGGCTCTTTGCATGGCTTACCCATTCTCATGCTTCAGATCTAAGTTCAACTTTCTCTTTTTTTTTTTTTTTTTCCTTTTTGTCTTTTTTCATGACCAGCAACGGGATTGCAACCCTCCGTGTTGCATCAGCACCTCGCTCAGCCAGTGAGCGGCCGGTCTGTATGTGGGATCCGAACCCTCAGGGGGAGCGCAGCCGCGCTCCCAAGCGGCACACTGTAGCAGTGCGCCACCGGGCCGGCCCTCAACTTTCTCTTTAAAAAGACTTTTCCTGATCACTCTTTTTAAAGCACTTCCTCTTATAGTATTTCAGGATCCTGTGTATTTCCTTCATAACACTTGCTACAAGCTGTAATTATATTGGTAGTATATTGTCTGCCTCCCTGGATAGAATGTAAGTTTATCAGGGCCCTGTTTTGTTCACTACTGTTTTCCCAGTGTCTCAAACAAAGCTTTACACAAATTATTAACTCAATTAACATATATTGAGTACCTGAAGGAAATTACTTAATCTCTCTGGCTAGGTTTTCTTACCTGTAAAATGAAGGTAATAATATAGTCATGTGCCTCATAACCATGTTTTGAACAACGACAGACCACCTGTACAACTATGGTCAGAGCAATAGGCTAGGTTTGTAGTAGGCTATGCCACCTAGGTCTGTGTAACTATACTCTATGATACTCATGATGTTCACGCAACCATGAAATCACCTAACAAGGCATTTCTCAGAACACATTCCCATCATTCAGCAATGTGTAATTGAAATTACTATTATTGTGAGGATTAAAATAATAATATGTATAACTTGCTTGGCACATAATAGGCAAATAAAAAGCACTTAATTTCTTCTCATTAATAACAGTCTCCATTTGATAATAGATATACTATTATCTGTTATCATTTATGTAGGGCTTACTATGTGTCAGACTCTGTGCTAAAGGCTTTATGTGCGTCATCTCATTTAATATTCAGAACAACTCTCTGAAGAAGGAACTATTATTTTCCACTATTTTATCTATGAGCAGGTCAAGTAAGTATATTGTCTGTAGTAATATAGCTAAATATCAGGGAAGGAACTGAGAATTCTTTCTGATTCCAAATCCCAGGCTGTTAACTACTGACTTCCTCACATCCTTTTTCCATTTGCTCAGTGCATTTTCAGCCACTTCATCATACCCTTAGTGAGTGGTTATTGTGGGTCAGGCAATGAAGACATAGGTTGAATTATTGTCCTTGCCCTCAAGACTAAGTCTAATGGAGATGGCCAGGGTCTTATGGACATTTGCAGGAGTTTTGTTGTACTAAGCAAGTGGCTGTTTCTGAAATGTTATTTTACACTGTCCCTTTAGAGCTCAAACTACTCAGGCTAATCAACATTTCTCTCTTGAAAGTCTTCCCACCACTAGAAATGACTCAGTACTTTAGGAAGAGTTAACCTGGTTCTTCCAATGCAACATCATTGCCCACGTGTTTGGTCTGACATTTCTCTCAAGAATATATGTACTTCTACATATCAGCCAGCTGCCAAAAAAAAAAATAGTATGTGTACTTCTTAGATAAATTATTTTTAAGTTGATTTTTTTAAAGTAAAATATGGACATTTTTTAAAAAGTTAAATAGTCCTAGGTCCAGGGTTCGATCCTTGTACTGGCCAGCAGCCACCCCAAAAAATAAATAAAAATAAAGAAAGAAAGCGTTACGTAGTCCTAAAAAGCTTATAACCAGAACAAGGTATCTTTCTGCCTTATCCCACCCCAGTGCCTCTAGACTTTTGCTCAGACGCAACCATTTTCAACTCTTAGCAATGTTTTTTTAACATTTATACATTTCTGGGCCAGCCCGGTGGTGCACTGGAGAGTGTGCCGCTTGGGAGTGCGGCGGCGCTCCCGCCTAGGGTTCGGATCCCATGTGGAGACTGGTTCCCACTCACTGGCTGAGCACGGTGCGAGCACAACACCGAGGGTTGCAATCCCGTTGCCGGTCAGTAAAAAAGACAAAAAGGAAAAAAAAAAAACATTTATACGTTTCCATTTTTGTAAGGAATTTGTATATACTGTTACCCTTTGATTAATCCGTTTTAGACATTATTCATTAACTTCGTCTTATGGTAGATGAGGATTTAGTTCTGAAACTTTACCATCCTCTCTGCTTTCTCTTCCTCATACACCCAATTCTATTTTTGGTTAAATCAATAATCCGTATTTAGGTTATTATGCCTATTCATACCTGAGTATTTCATTCTAGTGACTAGACTAGAAATTTTGCAATCATGTATTTTGGTGTTCATCTATTTTCATCCGTTCTGCTGAGCATTCAGTGAATTCTTTGTCTGGCAACTCATTTCCTTTATTTCTTGGAAATGTTTCTGAATTATTCATTGAGCATTTGGTTCGTTTTCTCTGTTTTTTATTTATTTATTTATTTATTTTGCCTGGTACAGGGATTGAACCCTGGACCTTGGTGTTATCAGCACCATGCTATAACCAACTGAGCTAACCAGCCAGCTCTGTACTCCTATAATTTCTTCTGGAATGCCTATACATAGATATTAGATTTCCACTACCCAGTGATTACCACTACTTTTTTTTTTTAATGGCAGCTGGCCAGTGTGGGGATCCGAACCCTTGACTTTGGTGTTACCAGCTGCTGTAGATTGGATGCCCCCTAACCTCACTGCAATTGTTGAGGGTGGGAAATCCTATTATGGTAACTGAAAGGTGGGGCCTTGAAGAGGTGATTAGATTGTAGGACCATGCAGTAGTGAACGGATTAATAGTGGTGGTCAGGGGCATGGTTTTGAGGGCTTTAAAAGGAAGTGAATGAGGGGCTATCTCTCTGTGCTCCACCATTGTGCCATGTGAGACCTCTGCACATCAGTGTCACCACCAACAAGGCTCTCACCAGATGTGTTCCCTGTACTTGGGACTTCCCAGCCTCTGAAACTGTAAGCAATAAATATTGTTTCTTTACAGATTACTCAGTTCCAGGTATTTTGTTATAAGTAACTGAAGTGGACTAATACAGAAAATTGGTACCAGAAGTGGAGTGTTGCTTATAACAAATACTTGAAAATGTGGAAGTGGCTTTGTCTTTTTTTTTTTTTTTTTTTTTAAAAATGACCGGTAAGGGGATCTTAACCCTTGACTTGGTGTTGTCAGCACCACGCCCCCCCAGGTGAGCAAACCGGCCATCCCTATATAGGATCCGAACCCGTGGCCTTGGTGTTGTCAGCACCGCACTCTCCCGAGTGAGCCACGGGGCCGGCCCTGGAAGTGGCTTTGGAACTGGATATTGTGCAAAGGTTGGAGGAGTTTGGAGGACTCAGAAGAGCTTGTAGTAAGGGCAGTACCGCTAAAGCCTACACAACATAATTATTTAATATCATCAAAAAGCAGTCAGTGTTTCTGCTTTCCTGATAGTCTCATAAATGTTTCTTTTTCACATGGGTTTGTTTGAATCAGGATCCAAATCAAGGACCAAACATTTCATTTGGTTAATGTGTCTCTTTTTTTGTTTTATATATTTTTTGAGATTATCTTTCTTTGAAGATTTTATTGGAGTATTGCAAACAGAAAAGTAAACAAATCATAAGTGTACAGTTTAATTAATTTTCAAAGACTGAACACATCCATGTAAAACACACCCCAGAAATTCCTCCTTTATTCTCTTTTTCAGTCACTGCCAGCCCAAGGGCAACCAATAACCTGACTTCTAACACTATAAATTAGTTTTGCCTGGTTTTCAACTTCATATAAATGGACTTGTACAATATATACCCTTCTTGTCTGGCTTCTTTCACCATCTTGTGAGATTTATCCGTATTCTTGAGTATAATTTTTGTTTGTTCATTTTCATTACTGTAGAGTATTCCATTATGTGAATATTCCACAGTTTATTTGTCCTGTGTATTTTACTGTGGATAAGCACTTGGATTGTTTCTAGTTTGAGACTATTATTAATTGTGCTGCTGCTGTGAACATTCTAGTACATGTATTTTCAAGGACATATGTTCACATTTCTGTTGGGCATACAGCTAGAAGTGGAATTACTGTGTCATAGTGTTTGCATATGTTCAGCTTTAACAGATATTACCAAACTGTTTTTATGGCTTATTTGTCTGCTTTTGTGTCAATATCATATTGTCTCAATTAGCATAGCTTAATAATAATTCTTAATATTTGGTAGTATAAGTGTTCCGAATACTTCTTCAAGACTGGCTTGGATTTTCCTGGCCCTTTGCATTGTCATATAAAATTTTATGAAAAGCTTATCATAGCTATCAATTCCAAGCCCTGTTTAATCTGTAGCTTTCTCCTTCCTTATTTTTTATTTTGCAACTTATTTGTCGAAAAAATCAAGTCATTTTTCCTATAGTGTTCCAAACATTATTTTTTATTTTTATTTTTTTTGTCTTTTTCCGTGTCCGGCAACGGATCGCAACCCTCAGTGTCGCCCCCGTACCGGACCAGGACCGGCAACGGGATCGCAACCCTCGGTGTTGCCCCCGTGCCTCGCTCAGCCAGTGAGCGGGAACCGGTCTGTATGTGGGATCCGAACCCTCGGGCGGGAGCGCCGCTGCGCTTCCCAAGCGGCGCACTATCCAGTGCGCCACCGGGCCGGCCAAGTGTTCCAAACATTCTAAATTTTGTAATCATATCCTTATAATTGATTTAACATGTTTGTCCCCTGTATTTCCTGTAATCGGTAGTTACATCTCAGGCTTAATCAGATTCAGCAAATATGCACTTAACAAGCATTTACTAAGCAATGTGCTTGCTGGCAGGTGGGATACAAAACTGACTAAAACATTATTGCTATTGCTTCTTACGAGTATAGAAGGTTAAGATTCAAATAATTGCCTTTTAAGAGTGGCAAATTACTCTGGCAGCTTAGATCAGAGAATGATTACTTCCAATAGTGTGTGTAAGGAATGGAAATAAGGGAAATTTTCATGAAGGCAATATTTCAGCAGGCTTGAAAGTTGCTAGAGCACTGACAAGTTAGTATTATTGTAAGCATTGGTTAGCTGTGACAACTGTGTAAACCGGAGTTTTGTGAGAGTAAAGTCTGGAAATATGTTGTAGTGGGTTGAGTGGTGACCCTAAGAATGTTATGTTCTGATCACAGGAGCCTGTGAATTTTACATTATGTCTTTATTATTATTTACAGAAGTGTCTTTGCATATGTAATTAAGCTAAGAAGGAGATGAGATCATCTTGGATTACCCAGCTGTGTACTAAGTCCAGTGACAAATGTCCTTATAAGAGACAGTAAAAGAAAAGATACGCCAAGGAAAAGGCAATGTGAAGATGGAGGCAGAGACTGGAATGTTGTGCCCACAAGCCAAGGAAGCTGGCAACTATCAGAAGCTGGAAGAGGCAAAGAACGGATTCTCCCCTACATTCCATTTAGGACACTTGGCCCTGCTAACACTTTGATTTTGGACTTCTGGCCTCCAGACTAAGAGAATAAATTTCCATGTTTTAAGACACTAAATTTGCTGTACTTTGTTGTGGCAGCCACAGGAAAATAATATAAGGTGGGTTGGGGCTAGAATGTGATATGGTGGGATTTGACCTTACACTGCACTAGGAGTCAAATTATGCATTTCTTTAATAAGTATGTTAGGTACATGTAAGACTTTGGGGACAGTGGACACTAGTTTTTTGGGGGGTTTGTTTTGTTTTTGGTGGCTGGTCTATAAGGGGATCTAAACCTGTGACCTTGGTGTTATAAGGCTGCACTCTAACCAACTGAGCTAACCAGCCAGCCAAAGTTTGCTTATTATTATTTTTTTTTGACAGTCGTAACTAGAAAAACATTGAGAATGTCCCTTCTCTTTGTGAATTATCTTCTTCTTCCCACTCTAGCAAAAACAACTTGAGGGAAGGACATTTTTTATTCATCTTTGTGACTGTCATAGGGTTATGCACCTATGCTCAGTAAACATTTGTTGAATAATTAAAACTAACTTTAAATTTTGGTTCATTATTAATTACTTAGGTATCCTTTGTCTTTAGCTATTAGCACAAAATTTTGAGCTGGTGGATTCAGAATTCAGGATATTTCATTTTGATTTTGAATATATAACAAGACAGGAGGTTAGACTAGTTCAAAAGACATTCTTTTTCTGAATGTTACCAATTAGGAAATAAGTGCCGATAGGCCACCACTGGGCTTCCTTTTTTTCTTTTTTCAATTCATTAGGAACTCTTCAGTCAGCTCTATGGTGAACTCTATTCTATCTGAGCCAATGAAAAGGACTTGTACTACGGATGAACCGAAAGTAATTTATATTTGGTTTCAAGTATGTTACAATACTCATATTTGAATATGTGTCTAATTTTCCCATCTGGGACAAGGAATGACTTCAGGGCATTACTATTTTCTGCTTCTAAACTAGTTGTCTAGGTGGTTCACACATCATACTTGTTTCTGTGAGGGTGGGAAAGGTTATACCCTCAATCTTCACATTGCCCACTTTTTTTCATCATTCTGGGCTCTGCTCAAACGTCACCTCTTCAGAGAGGCCTTTCCTGACCAACCCATTCAAAAAAGCCCTCTACTGTATTACTTCCTATTTCCTTATCCTGTACTCTATTTTTCTTATTTGCTTACTCGATTATTGTCTGTTTTCCCCACACAGCTAGAAGGTAAGTTCCATGAAGACAGAAACTTTTGTCTTTTTTGTCCATTGCTACATCCCCAGCATCTTTAAAATATCTGGCACCTAGAAGGCACTCAAACATTTGTCAAGGCAACACATAAGTGAATGAAAGAATCACAGGTTTTGGAATCAGACAGTCCTGGGTACAAATTGCAACTCCATTCTTTTTGTGCAATTTTTGGCAAGTTTCTTAACTATCTGTGCCATAGCTTCCTCATATCTGATAAGTGGAGAAAAACATGCATTTCAAGGTGGTTGTGAAAATTAATGATGGATCTATTTACAATGCCAGACATAGCAGAGCCTCAACATTGTTAGTTTCTTTCCATCCATCTCCTCTTTATTGAGATTATATATTATTCTTTCTTATCCAGTACAGAAGCTAACAAAATTTAAATTTCACGGCCCTTCACTTGCACAGGCTCTGGACTCGGAGTTGTAGTGGGGAAGCCGGTTGTGCTCTGGAAGTATTTTTATGTAAGCGTTTCTAATAAATAACCTAAAGAAATCTCAGAAGAAAGAGTCCTGAATCTCCAAGTCTTGAGTCATTTGTTGTGATTTATTCTCTTTCTAAGTATTAGTTTGCTCATTTTGTATTCATAATTTGTATTCTATTTTTTGGGGGGAGGGGGTATACCAGTAAGGCGATCTGAACACTGGACCTTGGTGACACCAGCGTCATGCTCTCCCAAGCGAGCTAACCGGCCAGCTTGTATTCTATTTCTTAAAGTCCCCCAAACTGAATCCACCCTTGACTCAACCCATTTATGGATTACACTAAGTGAGTATAAATGTATTCAGAACGTCTGCATTAAGATTCTCAGAGGAGGGGCCGGCCCGTGGCTCACTCGGGAGAGTGTGGTGCTGATAACACCAAGGCCCCGGGTTCGGATCCCACATAGGGATGGCCGATTCGCTCACTGGCTGAGCGTGGTGCTGACAACACCAAGTCAAGGGTTAAGATCCCCTTACCGGTCATCTTTTTTTTTTTTTTTTTTTTTTTTTTTT